AATAGCATTCCCATGTTTTTCATTCCATTGAGCTTCGCATTTTGGTTTTGCTAAGGGACTAGCAAAATGTAAGTTTGGGGGTGTGATAAGCGCCGAATACTGTATATTCAAGCGCCCTAAATTATATTAACAAAGTCCATTAATTGATTATTTTATGTAGGTTATCTCCATTTGTATGTTTTCGTACATTTTCAGGTTAAATTGCAAAAAGGAAGCAAAAATGATGCCTTGTGGAATTTTGAACAAAAAGGGTGCCAATTTTGAAATTCTGGCAGCAGTAGAACCTGACTTTTGTCATCATTTTTGACCTAGCAAACTCAAGAACTGGACTTCTATCATAACATGAAATATTTAGATCTCTGAATCAGCTTTCCAAATCTTCAAGTGGTTTGTCATTCGGAGTTCGGAGCAGAGAGTTATGATCTTCTTACCAGAGGTGCGCAGAACTGCCTGGCAGCACTGAAGTGCTGCCTTTCTCCCCATTTTCGACCAACCAAACTTGAGAATTGGGTCTTCATCAAAACATGAAGTATTTAGAGATCTGAATCAGCTCTCTAAATCTTCAAACAGATCATCATTCGGAGTTTGGACCACAAAGTTATGGTCATTCTTCCACAGTGGGTCAGAGATGGGCAAGAATTGCATGTTGCTCATTACACTAATTTTGAGTGCTCGGGACCACCCTTCGAGTGCTCGAAATTCTGGCAGATTGCACTCAGAAATGGCTCAATTTCAGCCACTTGCACATTGGTTTCCTCAATGCCATCTTCCTTCTTTATGAAGTGGTTGGAGGTGTTCCTTGGAGGAGAGAGAGCCTTGACTTGAGCTTGATAAGAGAGAGGGAGGACCACACATATCATTATCATTCATTCTTACCAGATTAGAGGGGAGAGAAGAGAGCAAGGAAGAGAGTGTTCTTGAGTGCTACAGTAGAGCTCGAGAATGAAGTTGTATTCTTCTTCTTCTTCTTCCATTTTTGTATCAATGGAGAGCTAAACCTCCATCTAGGGAGGTGATGAAGCCTCCTCTTTTGATCATGTTCTAGATTAGGCTATACTTTTGGGGACTATAATGTATAATGTATGGTAGTTTCATAGTCTAAGAGCATTTTCCTTCTTGTAATGAATTTTAATGTGTAAATGGTTGATGTAAGTTCATTGTCATATCTTTGATGATTCTTAGATCAATCTTATTGCTTTTATTTTCATAGTGACAATGAAAATATAGACTATGAATGTTTTTCAAGACATGTTGATTTTGAAACTTGATATTCCATTGCTTAGGTACCTCCTTTGATGGTTTATACTTGATTCCTACCTTCATGTGCTTCACCATTTGATTGAAAGCTTGATGGTCTTTTGCTTGAGATAGTGTATTTGATTCTATACCTTAGTTTAAGTAGTTCAACTATGGTAGCTTTTGATGGATCATTCTTGTTTTGATTAAGTGAACTTCTTGATGATTATTAAGGAACGGAGTTGCTTCATATTTCTTGACCATTACATATATGCTATTTATCCCCAAATTTAGACCTAATCTAGCATGTACTTAGGGTGTAGTGTGGATTCATCTCCCTAATCTTTTCTACTTGTATCTCACTTCTTCAATTTCATTGCAATCTATTGTTTTATGTATTTTAATTTCTTAGTTTAGTGACAAACACACAAACCCTTTATAAACCCCTCATCACTCTAAAATGACTTTAGATACTTAGGTTGCCTTAAGACTAGCGCAGTCCCAGTGGTTCGACTTACCCGTCCAATAGTCCTATTTTACAATGATTCGTGCTATTGCGAAGAGGGTTGATTTATAATTGATTTCGATCGTCGATCAGTGTGCCGTGGGCGGGTGCAAAAGACACTGATAGGCTACCACACTGGTGAGCTACGGGTGCACAGTCCCATATCGCCTGGATAGAGGAAAGGTGAAGTGCTTATATGTAAACGTGTCATTTCCAATTGGTCTGAAACCTTTTAGGGTAAAGCCCAAGAGCAAAACCGTGCAGGCTAAGGCCCAAAGCGGACAATATCATACCATGTGGTGGAGTGGGTCATTACAAATGGGATTGTGATGACCCTGTGCGCAAGTGCGAGAGACACTGACAGGTTACGACACTGGCGAGCTACGGAGAAGGAAATGTGAAGTGCTTAAATGTAAGTGTGTTAGCCAATTGGTATGAGGCCTTTTGGAGTAAAAGCCCAAGAGCAAAACCGTGAGGGCTCAGGCCCAAAGCGGACAATATCATACCATATTGTGGAGTGGGTCATTATAAATGGTATCAGAGCCTGACCCAGCCGGAAGTGTGCCGACGGGGACGTCGGGCCTCCAAGGGGGGTGGATTGTGATGACCCTGTTGGCAAGTGTGCCGTGGGCGGGTGCAAGAGACACTGATAAGCTACCGCACTGGTGAGCTACAGGTGCATAGTCCCATATCGCCTGGGTAGAGGAAAGGTGAAGTGCTTATATATAAGTGTGTCATCTCCAATTGGTATGAGGCCTTTTGGGGTAAAGCTCAAGAGCAAAACCGTGCAAGCTAAGGCCCAAAGCAAACAATATCATACAATGTGGTGGAGTGGGTCATTACAAATGGGATTGTGATGACCCTGTGGGCGGGTGTGCTGTGGGTGGGTGCGAGAGACACTAACAGGCTACCACACTGGTGAGCTACGGGTGCACAGTCCCACATCGCCTGGGTAGAGGAAAGGTGAAGTGCTTATATGTAAGTGTGTCATCTCCAATTGGTATGAAACCTTTTGGGGTAAAGCTCAAAAGCAAAACCATGCGGGCGAAGGCCCAAAGCGGCCAATATCATATTATGTGGTGGAGTGGGTCATTACAAATGGTATCAGAGCCTGACCCAGCTGGAAGTGTACCGACGGGGACGTCGGGCCTCCAAGGGGGTGGATTTTGATGACCTTGTGAGCGGGTGTGTTGTGGGCGGGTGCGAGAGACACTGTTAGGCTACCACAATGGCGAGTTACGAGTACACAAGTCCTACATCGCCTGAATAGAGGAAAGATGAAGTGCTTATATGTAAGTGTGTCATCTCCAATTGGTATGAGACCTTTTGGAGTAAAGCCCAAGAGCAAAATCGTGCGGGCTTATGTTCAAAGCAGACAATATCATACTATATGGGGTGCGCGCGCATGTGCATTAGTGATAGGTACATATGAGGCTTATGGTTGTACAATGTAGAAACCTGTAGTTTTCGAAAGAAGACATTGAACACCAGCTATGGGTGTACTTTAGTTTGTGAATCTAACACTTTGTTCTGTGTTTAACAATCTAATCAGGGTTGAGTGCTCTATATGAATTTGTATTTTGTAGCTTTAAAGTGTGGTGGTTCTGCTTGCAACTATTCAACCTCTAATCTCTGTGTGTAAATCAATGGACACATTGGATGTCTTGGCTTTTATTGACCACCTTTGACCCATTGGATGGAGGAGTTTTTCTAAAATAATTATTTTGGATAAATTTTACATAACTCCCATGTACTTATAAATTTTTTTCTCTAGCCTCTTTTCATTATTATTATTATTATTTAGTCTTTTATTTCTCTATTACATGCTATTTTTCAAAGAAACTATGGACGTTTCATTGTATTTTTTTATTCTAATTTTAATTATATAAAAATAATGTTTTTATTTAGTTGGAATAATCATAAAGAGAAGGTAGTTACTCGCATTCCAAAATAGAAAGTGGATGCTATAAGTGTTAGAAAATACAACTTGCTTGGGAAAAATGCGTCTAAGAAGCCGAGAAGAACAAAGAAGACATTGTCGAGAAGTGTTTTGAGGTGGCTGCATCAACACTTGTCGTCAGCTCAATTTGAGCATAAGTCAACCGAGAAGGGTTTGGAATAGCGAATTTCTGAAGGTCTTAATTAATTTTGTAGTTTTACTTTTGATGATGAATTTTTTTTTTTGGGGGGGGGGGGGGGGGGGGAGGGGGGGGGGATGAGGAATTTATTGAGCTTTTATTAGGAAGATATAGACTAACAAAATGGGGTTTCAGAGAAAAATTAGAAGTGAATACGAAATCCTTGAAAGTCTATACCATGACATTGATTTTTTTTTTTTTTTGGCTGAATGAATGATTGAAGTTTGAGGATCTCTGTGTGTGTTTTGTTTTTTCCTTTCAAAATCCTCTATTGATAGTGTAAAAAGAAGCAATAGTCTTATACTTTGTTACTTATGCAGATGAATAGATGAAATGAGATACTGAATATGAAACATTTTTTGGGGGTATAGAATTGATTTTTTTTTTTTTAGTTAAAGGTATAAAATTGATTATTGCTCTTATATGAATATGCATAATATATTGTTAGAAGGGGAATTCTTAATCTTGCTTGGTGATAGATATTTATCAAAAAGGTTCGTAATTTCCTTGATGAGGTCCTGCAATTGGAAACATTTTTTATCTTTGAATTTAAATGTTTAAAGTTATTAGTAATATTAATGAGCAATGCCAATAACAAGTGTCTACATCTAAATCTACCTTGATGGGCTCGGTTCATGTTTGACCAACTAAAAAACAAAAAATTCTATTTTCAAGAAGTCTATGGTTCACACTCAAACTTAGAGAAATATTTCAAATTTCTAATTATAACTACTTGGCCTAATGGGACTTATGAGTGATGAGAGTGACATCTTTTCTTGGATGTTCATTTTCTTTCTTCATGATTTTGTAATTAATTTTGTGTAAAATAAATATGTTGATTAATTCAGAAAATAATTTTCAAATACAATCCAGCAGATTTATGAATTTTTATTGTCCTAAATTCAGATTTTCAACTTGAAAAAATAGAAAATTGTTTTCTATTTTGATTCTCTGATTTTTTACAGTTGCAATCCAAGCAGCACCCAAGTTCCAAAAAAATAAATAAATAAATTCTTACTTGGACTAAATGAAAGATATTATCAATAAATAAAAATTAAAATCACCTCGAATAATTTTGATGAAAAAAGAGGAGTTGATCCAAATAATCTTGGTTCAAATTTCTGTAAAAAGTTTTAAAAATTATCGGGTCGGGTTCTTTTCCTACTCGTATTTATCAGAACATGCCAATTGGCCCTCGAACTCTTCAGAGAAGTTCCAATTTATCCTTAAACCCCTTCTCTTTCATAAAACCCTCAAACCTCCCCAATGTAGCATATACTATATAAAACAGCTCAAATCATCAACCAAACAGAAAAATTGAAAGAAACAGCGAGAAAAGAAAAGAAAAAACAAAGGGAGAGAGAAAGAGGAAAGGAAAGGAAAATGTTCTTCTTCTTCGTGGGAGGGGTAGAGCAACAGGTGCGACAGGTGCTGAAGAGTGGAGCAGGAAGGTGCATACGCTGTGGGTCACGTGCCGATCTCGGGGAATACGAGAAGGTCCTCAAGCTCTTCTTCATCGCCGTATGGAAGTGGCGAGGCAAAGAGCCTCTCATGCGATGCAACAACTGCAATCTCTTCTTCCCACCCTCCTTCTCTTTGCCGCCTCCCACAAACTCATCTCCGCCGCGTACGGCGGTCCCCAATGTTCTCCGGTGCCAATTCTATTCTCGGGAGGTTGATCCCTACCCTCCTCAAAATAGGATAGAAAAGTTGGGACAACGGCATAAAACACTCCAAAAAGTAAAAAGTGTGCAAAACACACCCTTATAATCTTTTCATATTGTGCAAAAATATCACTTAATAAAAAATCTAACATAAATTAATGTTGAAATGCCCATTTTATCTTTTTACTCTTCCGAACATACATATATATATATATGCTATTAATCTTATAGAATAGGAATGTTATATGCAGATTAATAGCATATATATATATATATATATTAAAAAATTTTCTTGATATATATCTCTAATTTTTTTATAAAAAAAAAAACTTGGAGAATTTGTAAAATAAGGATTTGAATTTTTTGAGATTTTAGTTTACTGTTTTCTATATTTTTTTTTTTTTTCCCCGTACCAACAATATCAATATACACTGATTTTCGAAGTTTGAAGCAGATTTGTTTTAAAATTTGAATATCAGTGTACTGGTTTTCGGAGTTTAGAACAGATTTGTTTTTCTTTAGTTTGCACTTTATTTTTGTTTTTTATTTTTTATTTATTTTTCTTTCTTTTTCTTTTTTATCTTTACTTGTCCATTATCAGCGTCCTTCAATACTATTCTTTTGGATTATTTTACAAAATTATTTTATTTTTATATATTTTAGGGTTCAATGCAAAAAAAGCCCCTAAACTATGGGGAAATCTGCAACTAACCCCCTAAACTACCAAAAATGCAAGAAACCTCCTGAACTATGCAAAGAAAGTTACAGATCACCCCATCCGACCAAAGTTCGGTGAGAATTAGCCGTTAAAATATGTTAAATTATTTTAAAAGACCATACTACCCTTAAAGGCATGAAAGGACAAGAGTGCCCTTGCCAAACATGGCTTTCCGAAAAAAAAACATTGCTTTTACTTTTCGAAAAAACGGCTTTTGCTTTCCCAAAAAAAAAAATAGCCAAACCAAATTTCCTCAAATCACGAACTCTACAACTTGTAGGGTTTTTTGCTACCAATGAACACAGATATCAACAACCAGGAGACTATCACCGTTTGAGCCATCGACAAAACTGGGATGTCAGATCTTCTCTCACCGTCTGCCGCCATCAACAACACCGGGATGCAAGGCCGGTATGACTGTTGCTCGCCGGACTGAACTAGGTTTGGTCGAAGAGGACGGTGGAGTTACGATAAGAGTTAGTGACGTAGAAAGAGTCGTCGTCGTCGGAGCTTCCTGTCGTGTTGCCTTGCCATCACCGGTTTTCGGATCGAGGAGGTGCAGCCACGGCCGACACGGATTCTTATCACAACCGCCGTCCTCCATTACGAGCTTCGTATTCAGCAATCAATTCCTTTATAGGTACCAATTGAAGCGAAAATCACTACTTTAAAAGCTCGATTCGGAGCTTCAATGGCTAAAAGAAATAAATTTGCAATTATAGATGTAGAGAATGATGAATTCAATTGATGTTAATTACCTCCGTTGCCGGCCGATCCAGTGAACCGCATAAGAAATCCAAATGTTTGTACAGTGGTGACGCCATCGACCACTTGATCACTACAGATTTCAAAAACTAAACAAATTGCTCCAGATTCAATTTTGAATCATTTAATCCAAAACTTGATTGAGATGAATTGCTCTGATGTATTTTCAAAATCCCTTGAATTAATAAAGCCATTAAAGTGAAATACACAAATAGATTGGTGAGTGGTCGAACAAAGGCTATGAAATTGCAAATGGAAGCAAAATCATTCGTCCAGAAATAGGTGAATTTGTCACCGAGCGAACGGAACCACCGAAATCTGACACCTTTATCGTCACCATCGTATGGTCCTCCAAACCCTAATTCAGAGTAATCATTTCTAGATAATAACCTTTCTTTACTCCTCTCTGCAAAAATGTCTCAGTGATCCAATGTTTGCTACCATTTAAGGTAAGGACAAGAGGCAGAGCATACAAATTTTATTTTTAGAGAGAGAGAGAATATCTAAAGAGAAAGAGTTCTATCTGTGCATCCCAAGCTCTTTAGATGTTCGTTTGATGAACTTCATAGGGCTTGGGCAGTTTCGTCTTTTTTCTTTTCTGGTGGCCTGAGTTGACAAATTGCAACAAAATGAAAGTTCAAAGGATTTCTTGTAGTTTAGGGGGTTAGTTGCAAAACCCCCATAGTTTAGGGGGTTTTTTGCATTTAGCCCTATATTTTATAAAGTAGTTCAGTAAGAGTAATTTAGTCAATGCAGGGTTTAAATTTGTCAGAGGGACCTATGTGCACCAAATTGAAACTTTAGTAGTATTTTGACGTTCTCTAATAGTGTTCTTTTCAGTTATTTTACAAAATTATTTATTTTATATACTTATAAAATAGTTTAGTATGGGTAATTTAGTCAATTTAAGGTTTAAATTTGTCAGATGGACCTATTTGTACCAAATTGAAACTTTAAGAATGTTTTTTACATGTGAGTAGTGTGATATGTACCCTAAACATACTTTAGGGTATTTTCTACACTTTAACCAAAAAAAAAAAAAAAAAGGTATACTATCAATTTGCTAATGCCCCATTTGTATTTAACTTTGTAAATTCAATTAACATCATCCAATGATATTTTTGCAAGCATTTCTAATAAATGGGTGTATCTAATATGCAAATAAGTTATGGAGACATCCATGGCATGAATGTTGTTATTTTCTACATTGAGAATTCCGACTTCACACCAATAAAATTCTAAACATCCATCTTTCATATGATTGTTTTTTAATTTCTGTTTTCAGATTGCCATTGTATTTATGTGTATTTAAAATTATGAGAGATAAGAAGATACACAAAAATTTATACATTCTGCATTGGATTTCAAAGGAGAAAAATTCCCAGTCCCAAGAATAATTAAAAAAAAAAAAAAAAAAATTCCCGTGTTTAAAGTTGTGATTTTAATAATTAAATCAAACAGTTAATACGCCTGCATCATTGATTTTTTTATCATTGATTTTTTTACCTGTTTAATCAGAAGACACGATTGAAGATTGAAGGTTGAGATAAGATTTTAAAGAAATCAATGACTTTGACCGACCAAAAGTGCATGTATTTTTACTTGTTTAATCAGAGGGCACAGCTTTTGAGCCCTCAAATTAGAAGCAATTATTGTTTCAAACCAAAATTATTACTATCTTGATACTAAGCAACCCCAATATATTGCATTACTAATAAAGTCTTCATGGTTACAAAATAAAAATTTTGACCTGTGAAATCTGAACGACTTGTCCAAAATTTTGAAGTTTAAAAAATAAAATTTTTTTAAAAATTTTGATATTTACAAATATGAAAAAATAAAATATAATTTGCATATTTGAAAAAAATAATAATAAAATTTGATCCGTGAAACTCGACCGATCCGTCCAAAATTTTGATGTTTAAAAAATAAAATTTTCTTAAAAAAATTGATGTTTACCAACATGGAAAAGCGGTCGTCCAAAATTTTGATATTTAAAAATAAAATATTCTTTAAAAATTTGATGTTTACACAAACATGGAAAAGAAAACGTAATTTGTAAAAAAAAAAAAAAAAAAAAAAAAAAAAAAAAAAAAAAAAAAAAAAAGACCTGTGAAACCCGATTGACCAGCCCAAAATATTGATGTTTAAAGATAAAAGTTTCTTAAAAATTTTGATGTTTACAAACATGAAAAAAGAAAATGTAATTTGCATATTTAGAAATAAATAAATAAATAAATAAAAATAACCCGTGAAACCCGACCCACTCGCCCAAAATTTTGATGTTTAAAAAATAAAATTTTCTTCAAAAATTTGATGTCTACAAATAAGGAAAAGGAAAATGTAATTTGTATATTTGTTAAATATAATAAAATAAAATAAAATAAAGAAAAAAGAACCAGTGAAACCCGCACGACCTGCCCAAAATATGGACTGGGACTGGACTAGGTTGGGCCAGCCCAACTTACAGCCCTTCGTGAGATAAATGAGTTGAGTGTAATATAGAATAAATACGTGTTGTATGTCTATTATGTGATGAGTGAAATATGGGTAACCATATCTAATCCATCTTAACCATCAAATTAAGTGGTTAAAAATTACCCAACCCATTTTTGACCCATCTTAAATATGATTCACCTATAACTATTAAAAAACTGAACTGATATGGACAGGTTGATAGTTTCTAACTTATTTTACCACCCCTGCACACCATCAACATAAAAACAAAAAGGCATATGAAATGAATGTTTTATTCATTTTTTTAATTATTATAATTTAGAGGAGTGTGTATATATAGTCTGAAAAATCTCAACAAAGTTATAAAAAGTTTTGTAGTGAATGGTGAGAAATTGTAGTATACCAAAAATTATAGATTATTATCATTCTATCTCTACTTAGTTGGTTTAATGGATGAAAACAGAGGGAATAGGAAAGATATATCACGAGAAATTGATAAGATTATCACACAAGCTAAACTACGCTTACGAAAGATTTGACAATAATCCTCTTGATAATAATAACTCCTGATTCAGGGATATGTATTTTTTAAATCAATTTGAAAGTTTAAAAAAAAAACATTCATATTACCATTTGACAGCACTACATTACTATTGATGAAATCACAATTTAATGTTTAGTAAAATACATTATAAACAGTAGAAGATTCAAATTTCAATTCCTCATAAAACTTACTTCTTTTTTTTTTGTTCGTTTTTGTTTGATTGATTGCATGGGTGAATATAATCAAGATTAAAATCGATAATAAAGCAACCTTCTATTATCTCTCGGAAGTGAATATTTATATTTGCATATGCTCACACGAATAAGTCACTATCGAAATTTTTAATTTTTAATTTTTTTTTTTCAAGTTTTTGTGGAGCAACCTAACTTGTGAATTACAAAGACATTTGCGAATTTTAAAAATAGTTAAGAAAATATCATCCCGGCCAATACACTCCACACTATATCTTTAAATGTGACTACTCTTTTTTTATATAGGGATGGATCTTTTTGATATTTTGCAGTGATTGGTTTTGTAAAGTTGAATTTTTTTAGTTATGGGTTTGTTAAGGCCTCTATTGAAATCATTACATTGTCAAAACCAAAGTCAAGAAAATTGGCTG